ATCATTGAGTTTTAGTTGAGAGTTATAATACGATATTTTCAAATTCAAAACTTTTATAGAAATATCGAAAATGGCACTTTTCTGTGAATTTTTGTATGATATAACTATGGCGTATATGTCCATAAACGTAAGTACTAACTTAATGTCGTCATAACATTTTATAGTCAATTATTATACTTTTTCTTAAAATATAATAAAAGTCTAAACTTATGTCGCAATTTTTTTTTGGATATATTAAAAAGTCGAATGACTAAATATATTTACCCAATTATAACGTAACTTGACATTATCACAAACACCAGATATAAATGTAACAACGAATTAAAACTAAAAATTAAAGTAATATTAAAGCATGTATATCCAATAAAAAATTTTGTAATTAATAATACATTCAAAAATCGCTACCCATAGAAAATTACGTAAAAATTCAGTTCCCGTATCGTATATGAAGAGACCTTTCTTCCATACACACATGTCGTGCACTTCCTACGATACAAAAACATCGTAATTCTTCAACCCACCTATAATTGTAGTACCCTCCTACCAAATAATGAATTAACCAAATCATTAATGTAACCCACAGCGACCTCTACCGACGAAAATATAAACAAACCGTCATGAGTTACACCATTAACTGGCAGATGGCGCATTAAAAACTTATTTTTACGATTTCGGGACGAACCAGGAATGTTAATAATTCAAGAAAATTGACTTCGTGGGAACTACAGTCCTTTGCAGTAACTATAGCTACTTCTCTTTTATTAGACTTTGTTACTAAGAGCATTTGAGTCTAATTTTATAAAGAGTAGAGTGCAGCCATCCTCTCAAGGCCTTTACACGCGAAGTCAATTCCGTAAATTAAATCGGACGGTTAGTTTAAAGGATTTTCTACTATATTTTGTATCTAATTAAGAAATATTATGCTCAATAGTTGTAATTTGTAGTTACTGTACTAATAAACGTGTAATATATATAACAGAAGTTAAAGAAATAATAAGAAGGAAGAATTAGATATAATAAGGTGTTTGTAAAACACAAATATATACCCAAGATATCACCAATTTACGAACATAATCCGTTTAAAATTACAATTACAACAAGAATGGTAAAATGTATAAGCTTAAAGTTATACTATTAAATATAAAATACTACAAGTTATAATGATTTAGCAAGTTAATAAGTAATAAATATACAAGATGATGAACCAGTTTAGTGTATAGAAACCAAATTAACTTTAACATGACAGTAGTTAATGCAACAAGTCGTGATGATCTTCAGAATCGATGTTCCGCTTCCCCTCTGAGCACTGAATAGACAGTGGGTCCTAATTATATAGAGATCGATATAATATGTTAGCTATCTCGATGCTCTCAGCATAGACACCGCTGCATTTGAACTCGAAATATCTTTGTAACTGTACTCACATTTCAGTATAGAGTAACATTCGAGTGATTGACTAACATCTGCATGTATGTTTGTAAAAATAACGATTACATTCATCTAAATTCAAGGCCATCGATGCTGCTGTAATAAATAAAACTACAATGAAGATGGATGATGGTATGCACGAGGCAGTCACCAGATGACTCGTTCTGGGAAGCTCGAAGATATAAAATGCAGTAAATGATGCTTCTAATCACTAAAAAGCTTAATGTTTACACTACATACGCTTGTCAGGATCGATCACATCTAACTTACCGTAAGATCATATCAATCGGTACTATAATCCAACTATTAATACTGTGTATAGAGCTGACTCCTGGTCTATTTGATACACATTTCTGCTGACAACACAATCGATCAGATATTATTATCCGGTTAGTTGTTTTATGTTACACAACTTCGGATATCGTGAGACCTAGAAGGAAAAGTCGTGTCTAGTTATAATATTATCTCTTGTGCCTCTAACAGTCCGGAACTAATTTGATCTTTTTACTTAATTTTCATACTTTGTTGTTCTGTAAACAACCCACGGTTTTGTTTCTCTAACTATTATTTTACACGTCTCTATCACGCAAACCAATCTCGTTACAAAAAGAATATCAATACTTCTATGCATTACATTTCCCTACTACGCTTCAATATAAGAATCTATAAAACCCCTGTCTCTTCTGAATCACAACAATGTAAGTTAATTATTACTTAAATTAACGTCCAATCTCTGTAACATGAACTACCAACGCCTTAGAAAAATTAAAGAGCCGAGATTTTGCAACGCGATAACTCATTTGAGAATGACACCGATGCATCCGGCCTTTAAGGGCGGTGTCGAGTATTTACGGCAATTAAAAATTAAGGTAAAAGCTAGAGAACGTACATAGGCGAATGCACAACCTCGTCATGCACCTCATTCACTTTTTAAGCTCAGAACCAGAGCGCAAAATGGGAAACGTCAAGTGATTAGCACTGATGTCGTGCAGGGCGCGGCGTGCGTGATGGCCCGGTCGGAGCGCGGCGCGGCACACACTAGGGCGGGCGGCGGACACGGCAGCGTTACGTCAGCGCGGGGCGCGGGCTGCGGGCGCAGGGGGGGCCCCGCACTACTGCATCCTCCGAGCGCCCATCTTCGCCCGGCTTCGCTGAAAAACGTGACATCTTTGCTCCGCGCCGACCGCTTCCCGCGCGCCCCGCGCTTCTCCATCTCTCTCCAAGGACCATACCATCACTCACTCGTGGTCATTTTGTGTAGAAACTCATTACGTAGATGCAATTACGGGTACGGTTCACATTTATATTAGTTTATTTACTTGTAATGAGGTATGAATCTCTCTATAATATACTAAGAGGTAAGTTTACAGAACAGATTGATGAAAATTAGTTCTATGATTGCGGAAATAAGTTTTATAAGAAAAGTTGCAAAGTAACGTTTGTTTTTGTAACTTTATCAATGATACTTAAACCATGATAAAGTTTAAGTATTTGTATGTAGTAGTCAATCAAGAGTTTTTATTCTAGTATTTCATTTGTTTACTACATACTTAAATAGTAGTACTAAATCCAAGATAGGTACTATTGCTAATAAATGTAGAACTCGATGCGTCCTGTAAAGTGCGAAAGGTGGGGTAGAAAATAACAACAACAACTTTTTTAAGATTTATTTTTCTTTGAATAATAATAAAAAACAAAATTTAAACTCTAAGAAAGAAATTCGGCATTCAGCAAAGATATAATTATGGAAAAAATAATAGCTAGAATTTATAAAATGTTAATTAACTTATCAATAGACTCTATTTAACGTAATTAAATTATGAGGTAGATGTTTGCAAATAGTCTTTCATTAAAATCTTATAAATTAAAACTACATTACAACTACTGCTATATAAAAAGAAATGCAAAAAGACCCGTAGTGTATAATATCTATAAACCGACCTGTCCCTACCGTGATGTAACGCTGACTAAACGTACTATATCATAATTATTATAATGAAGTGATTGTTGAATTTATTGCATTCAAAATACAACGTTTCGATTGATAGAAGTAAAACTTGAAAGTACAATAAAAACATATTGTGTAATTTGGAAACATTAAGTAGTGATAACCTTAATTTATTGTACCTGATATTAATAACAACTGACTTACAATAATTATGACTTTGACTTTACTTATTCGCACCAAAAATCTAATAAAAAACTTTAGTAATTGAAATATTGCCACTAGTAGATAAAATGTGTCGGCGCCACTGCGAACTGAGCCTCTATCTATATAATTCAACGTATACCTTACTATGGCTTGAAAAACTAAACATTAACAGTTACATGTAGTTTTACAAAAATTACTACGAACACAATATAAAATCATTGGTACTAATGCAGGCGGACGTTACACATTAATTACTATTAACTACATACATTTTACATTACTTGTAAATGAGGTTTCTTGATATATTATAAACTAGAAATGTGCAAATTATATTTAAAGAGTGTACCGAAGACAGTTTCAGTGGGCCTGTGTGAAGATTTCAATAACACGTTGGTTCAACGACAGTCAGTTATAAGTATAACCTAAAAACAAATACGTTAAAATATCTTAACTACAATAACTAAGTCATATTCATAAATATTGAGGTAGATTACTCCTTCGTGTATGTATCTAAACTACCTAAATAGATTTTTGTGTAAAAACAAAGTCTTAAATTAACATCGATGGGTATTAAGTATTTATTATACAAATAAATCGCTTGCTTCGGGAAATTCTCACGTGTGTTAAGTTTTGAATTGGTGTGAGTATTTGCTAGTGAACTTTGGGTGCAGAAAAGTTTGCTACATATTTAAGTGGATCATTAGAGCTATTTCAATGCATGTTCAAGTTGAATTCGAATGGAAACAAACTTCGAAGCAAGACATTTAGTTTTAGTTAAGTAGATTTCTATCTTAAGGTGCAGCTTTTAACCGTTTCTTACTTAGAAATTGCCACAGCAACTTTCTGACTGAACTATCGGAGACCACTTTATAGCTCAAACGCACTAATTGCTATGCTCGGCATGACGCTAGAAGTATCTGGCAATCTTGATTACATTCAATGAAACTGAATACACTAACACTTAGATACCAAACTGTAAAAAACGTAGGATGAAGTTTAAGTACCCACACTATTCCCAAAACTTGTTCTACTTAACTATGATTAGGCTCTTGAGCAAACATAAGTCGCAAATGTTATATACATGACAAAGTTAATCTAAAATATTTGTAGAAACATTACATTTGTACTCTCAGTTATCTGTTTAAAGTAAAGCACTCGTATGCTAGGGCAAGTAATAGAAATACAACTCGTACAGAATCTACACTTAATTAAAAATATTTTTACAATTATTGCAACAATGTTAATTTGACTTTGGCACATTAACTTCAACGTTTACATTGCATAATTTGTAAAATATACAAACGAAAATTGATATTTTCCTTTCCTACATTATTCGTCGAACATTATATTATTTAAGAGCTTACATTTACCTTCTGTTTGTCAGCCCTACCTTTAAGGGTTTGTACTTTTATTACGATATAGGTACTCCAGATTCATGTCTATATTTCCCCCAAAGAGGTTCAACAAGACGCATGTATAGGACACCTCGAAATTTCCACCAATAATGTTATTCCCTGCAATGGATCTATTCTCACACACCGGACAAAATCCAGACTTCGTGCCTCTGCTTTGAATTTCTCATTCGAAAAACATAATAATACTTTGCACGACCTGGGAATCGAACCTAGGACCTCAAGCTCAGCGACGAGGCAGTCAAATATCTCATAATTCTTTTCACCTCTGATATTGACAAGTTTCCACTGTTTATCTGTTAGCATATGTTTCTCTCATGGTTTGCTTCATAGCCAGTTATAATACTTCTTATAACTTGTCGTTACGTTATTTATGAGCTAGAACTAACATAAAGTTTGTCATAATATAATATAGCAACAAAATAATAATATAAACACACACTTAACTTTGGATAAACACCAATATACGTAAAATAATTAAGGTCACTCGAACACATAAAATTTGTACTTACGTTACGTTTGAAAACTTAGCTTGTAATATTACTATCATTAAAATTATCAAAATGTATATATTGTATAGTTTGTACTAGAATTATGGATTTGTACCGATCAGTCTTGTACTTATTTGTATAGTTTAACTGTAACTATAGTGAGGTAGATGCGTTAAGTTAGTTAACATTTGGTTACACATATGTAGTTTGGCAATTATAAAATATTTTCGTAATAGAACCTGTTAATTCAATTAAGTCGTTTCGTTTTGGAATGGAGTATCTAGACGGAAATAAGCTTTGTCTAAATTTATAAAACGTTATAACATAGTTAAAGTAAGAACGAAGAAATGCCGTTAGATAATGTAAAAGTTTCGTGGGGTCTTGGAATACGGGGGATGTGTGTATGGAGTTACGAGTGCGGTGGACTGTCCTGCTGCCCTCCCTGAGAGCCGCTCGAACTACTCTTGGTGGTGTCGTCCCTCTTTTTTTCCAGCTGTAACAGAAGAATTACACAAAAATGACAAAAATTCGTGAAAGCACAATGTTAAATTAAAACACTATGTAAAATTTTAGAATAGAGGTCCTGGCTGATTGGAATTTATTTTTAATCTGTAACCGAATATTGTTAATCTTTATAGTAAATTGTCCACAAATTCAAACCAAAGTGAATTAAATGTGTATAATTTGTTTCCCTAATAATTGTAAACCAGTATGTTATTTTAAAAGTGTATTTTCCTCTTATATGCATAGGAAACATCGAATCACTGCTAGTCACCGTGTTTTCAATACGTTGGAATATATTCTTGGAATTCCCAATTAGTACCTGTTCCCTCTTCCCAGCTCGTAATAGTATGTTCCTGGAATGGAACTGATGTCAAATCTTAAGCAAAACTGACTAGCATGATTTAATTTGTGAGTGTTCTCTAGCAATTCCAGAATATGTTGTACTTGCAATGAATTTACGCTTTGAGCACTGAATAGACTTATAGATTACAATTATAATATGTCAAACATATATTTTATGTAATTTTAATTTGTCTTTTTTATTTTTATTGTGGAGTAAGTCAGGTAAAGCAAAGAATCTTTGGTTCGGTTCCGTCATGGAGCCAATTTTATTGGGTCATTTCTTCGATATCTAATATTTTCAGTAATAGCACAAAGCCTTGTATCTGGTGTATGATAATAGAAACGTCCTATATAGCCTGATACGTTTTTTTATGGATTAGGAGGCAAACGAGCAGACGGATCACCCGGTATGCGATCATCGCCGTCCACAGACACCAGTACGATGCCGGCCTTTTAAAGAGGAATACGGTCTTTTCTTGAAGGTTTGAAAGTCGTATCGGTTCATTATGAATGAGTCATAGGACTTACGACATAGCAGAGACAGGGTGCTACATTTATAATGTGTTGTAAAATACCTTAACTGGACAGTCGGCGATAAGATGGTCCTCGCTCTTGCAGTTGTGACATCTCTTTGGTTGTGGGCTGATGGTGCACTTGGCCGCTATGTGGTTAGCAAACTCGCCGCAGTTATAGCAACTGGAAACCATAGCATTGTATTTATGAGATCTAGTTTTAATATTGTTAGCAATGAAAGCACGTCAAACAAAAAGGCTAGCCACACAATATTTAGCTTACTACTTGCATAACACAATATGTTAAGCCATAATGTAAAAGTAACGTTTTAGTTTCAAACTTTTATGCAAACTTAATTTAATAATTGTAAACTCGATTAAACCTAGATTGTTTATGCAATAATAATGCTTGCTAATCTCATAAAAGTATTAATTTTTTAATCTAAATAGGTTTTCTGTCCTAATTAAATCCAAAACTATATCATGTTCACTTTTTTAATAATCAGATTTTAATTGGATGGATTACTAATAATGATATATGATACATGTTAAATAATCCCTAGATCTAATATAACCTAGTATTTTTGGAACCGAATAAAGATGCCTAGATTGTTCATCTTTTTTCCCCAGTTTCGTAATTTTTTCAAATCTTTTCAGACTATAAAACATAACAAACAAATATGACATTTAATGTAATAGAAACAAGTTTTACTATTACATTTATACCTAATTAACACGTTTCGATTAACCCTTATCTATGAACATAACTCAAAATAGAATTTTATCTAGCATCTGTCCACACAGTGTCGTTAAAACGATTTCAACTATATTTCCAAGAAAGTATGGTTTAGTAGTTTCGTAGGTTTGATATTTTCCCATGGGTTGATAGCGATAACCCTCCGATTTAGTGTTTGACTCGGCAACAAGTAAGCAGATAGAATAAACCCAATATGATAATGATGTAATGTGAACGCAACGTGCATTCTGACGTCGTTGCACTTTTAGTATAAATACTGGTTTTGTTATAATAAATCCCTTTTCTAACTAGCATGACGTCAAACCCAACTAATGACTGAAATTAAAATTAAATAGTGAAATAGTTTCGTAATCGTTCGATATTAATTTCAATAGGTTATCGTTTGACTATTATGTACTTCATGAAATTGTTTAATAGTTTGATAACTGTTCACACACGTAACACATGTAGTTTGTAGTAGAAGGATACCGAGTCTAGTTGTTAATAATTTTATCATGTGACCGAGTACTCTATCATAGTAACTACGGTTATCATTGAGATATTAGGTGCTAGAAAAACTATTAACCACTCCGTTCTTGACGTAACACGTGGTCCGTTTAACTTTTATAGGTTGTACAGACCAACAAAATAAAGAGAGAGAAAATAATACGAGATGTTATTCTATTTAAACTTAAATTACATTTATTTATGTATTTTATATGGTATTCAGTTTACATAAATAAATACAGGAAATATTTACTAAATGATTCCCGTGAACATGACACTAGAGATTCCTACTCTCCTTTCAATAGGTATGCTAAGGTCACTGAAGCTTCTAATCTATTACTGTAATATGATCTGTTAACTAAACTCCCTTTACACGTTTGGTAAGTTTAAAATAACCTCTAAAGGATTTAGTTTCTATTGACAGGAGCTTAAAACAGTAATAACTGCTAACTGGTTTCACGCTGACTGCATTTTAAAAGGTAGTATATAACTTTTGTTTCTTTCATAGATATATTAAAAATATTAAATAAAAATGAATCAAAAGTTTCTGTAAAGCACTAGTAACGTACTGACTAGCTTGTCTTTACAACATTTAGATGTTGTGGATTTCATATTACTCTGTAATGTATTGAAGTTATTATAAAATGAAGCATTCTACACTCTATAATGATCATGATGATAAAAAATAATGCAATTGATCAAAATCCATCTGTTAGCCTTTATTTTATTCCCTTAGCCAAGTCTACTTATAGGATTTGTTCAGAATGAAGGATGTACCAATTTAATAAAGAATCAAATAAACATGCCATGTCATTATATCTCCTCTTAGTGTATGAGTTTGATAAGCTTATGAGAAGATACTGCAAATAAAGATTTGGTCAACTATGCCACACTGCAAGCAAAGGAGTATCGTCCATTTATAAAGGGTATTGATACTTCTCCCCAACTAGCAACTAAAGCAAAGATTACCGTATCTTTCTGAACCGTTTCTTGGCGAGTGGGCGTCGATGTGATCCTTGGCAGTCCACAGATGAAGGGCCGGAGACACGCGTCGCCTCGAGCCCCTTGTCGGACTCTTTGCACTCGAACTCAACCTCCTCGTCGTCGCCAAGAGACCGGAATCCTGGCATCTGAATGACGCTCTGGAAATAAATGAATAAACACACCATTACCATAGCACCGTCTTATCATTTCTTAGTAAAATTTCAGAGAGCTAAAGTTTTAATATCGTTTTTAACTTCATACATCATTGTCATTTAGACTGCATCTCTGCTCATAAAGAAAAATGTCTGATAAGTCTGGTTCACAATCTGCTCTTCATCATGACTAAGTTATAAGTTAAAGTATTGAGAATTGTAAAAGCAAATAATATCGCCAGAGTAGTCACAAAGTTGTAATAATATTTGTGCGTACGACAGCGGCGCTGCGAGGCGGCCCGCTAGTTCAGTATAAAAATAACAACTTCATGCTAACTATTATTATTGAGTGTGGGTCCCTTCAATGGGCTATAAATTTACTTATCGCTTATGAGAAAAAAATCAACGTTATCGGTATCCAGTAACGTAGTCTTGACCTAATATAAGTTTTACCGCTAGCGTCGCTGCAGCCGAACGAAGTACAAGTTTGGTGGCGCAAATGTATAGAAAAAACATCCGGCCTTGATAAGCCGAGCAAACAAATAAGCGCACTATCGGGTCAACCGCTAGATACGCCACAATATTTTTTCTGAATGGATTTATTTTCCTATTTTAACTATTGTAGAGAACGGAGCAATTTAATTAACTACGTAGATAATAGGTACCTACGTTACATCAGAATTTTGCGTTCGTTCTATTTTTACTTATGATCGTTGCGTGTATGTCTCGTGTAATATAATGATAACAATTACCTGGTGCACAAAAACATCTTGCCCGCCGTCGTCAGGGGTAATGAACCCCCAGCCCTTCGCGACGTTGAACCACTTACACCGTCCACGGCGCGTCACCCCTAAGACGGCGCTGCCGCTCGCGCCCGCTGCACCTGCAAATAACATACACTCTGTTACTACAACTCCACCAGCACTCCACCCGCTCTGCTCGCTACTCGCTCACTCGCCCGCTCACTCGACCGCTCACACATCCGCTCATTCTCCCGTGCCCCACTCGCAGCCCCGCGTGTGCGTGGGCGCACCGCTCCCCTTACCTGTTACGGAATCTACCATCTAATTGAGTTTTTTTACAACTTAGTTCCCTCACACTGAAGTTTGGTTTCCGGTACATACGTAGCTTTTACGACGAACCGATAAAAGGATCTCATTTGCATATTTTACGCACACATTCACAAAATATTCGTTAGTTTATAAAAGTGAAACAAAATATCGTCCTATAAAATGAAATGTAAATAAATATTATCCGACCAGGTCGACATCATTTATATCCTCAAGTTACAAAAATTATCTGTAAACTTTATCAGTAAATAAAATAAATAATGCCGGCGTCGCATTAACATGTTTTTATTGAATAGAAAGGTCGTAAACAATTCACGGATAGTCAAATTGCATTAAGTGGGTCGTAGTCCCTTGCTTCTAAATACATGCATAGACATTTAACGTTCGGAAATCTATTAGCAATAAATAAGGGCCTACAATCGTATCCTGAACGAAGAAAGGGTATACTGTTCCCCTTATCGGGCACCGAGACAACAAATAACGTGGGAACCGAATTAAATAAAAGACAACCTCTTTTAATACCATAGCTATTAATTCCTCCGTGTTCAATATATATCAACGAATAGGCTATCAACTCGATAATTAAAACGTAGAAACTTAAAAAGTGCATTTATGGATTCATCTGCTAGGCAGTCGGAACTTTGACGGAACTAATGAAACATTTTCAAGTTAACTTAACAATACACGAGTTGTATAAGTTGGGTAGGTAGGCAGTGGTGGTTAATCAACTATCGAAAACATCAATTGTAGCGATGACTAATGTAACGTTACTTCCTTGAATAATATATGTAATGACTAACTAGGCAGTTTGTTAGAAAAATCCGGAAATACTTCAGATGACAAACAACGATTCACATATGTATACCTATACCTACTCATATTGATTAACACCTAATATTTTTTTATTTCTTAGTAATGAATGACTTATCCCCAGACACCGAAGTTGTTTATGTTAAAAACTAGGCTATTCATTTTCTTTACTTCACAATTTGTTACCATAGAAATAATATGTTGAATTTATAGAAGCTATAAAGTCGTTATAAATGATATCGAAAGTATTTTATAAACGGTCAAGAATTATAAATATGCATTATACGAGTCCAATCTAGACCATAACAAACCAACATTTAAATAAAACAAGCTAAAGTTCTCACGGCGCTCTCTCATCAATCGAGCGTTAGTATCGCGGAGGCTTACTCAAATGTTAGTTATATGAGAATTTATTGGTAGGTTTGCTAATTCGATATACATTTCCATGTGTTGGTATGTAAGCTAAGCATATTATTTCGGGCGGCGGCAGCGGTAAAAGCGTGGTGGCAGCACACGTGGCGACGGCGGCGGGGACTGGAAGAATGTTCGGTATTTAGGTTAAGTTTCTGGTACCTTTTTCATTCATTGCCGTAACACTGCATCTAGCGGCCTCGCCGCCACAGCGCCGCACTACCTCACCTTGCTATACTCAATATTTATTATTCCCTATCCCACATTAATGAGAAAGCTTTTAGACTTGTTTCTAAATAACTTGGAATCCATATAACACGTTCATATTAAAAATCAATCGACCGCCAACTTAGTATGTGTACCAAAATCAAGTTGTATCTTAACCGTTTGCCGTTACAAAATATTTTTTTCTATGAGGAGACTTGTTTTTTAGTCTTTAAATATTTATTAAAATGAACTCATTGTTTATTTAAGAAACGAGGATATGTCATGTATTCTTCATGACATAAGGACCATTGTAATAACTTGTTGAAGGACTTAACTTGCTTTTATCAAATAACCTTGCACTGATAAGTAACTTTCTATAAATTTGTTTATTTGTGTAAGTAATATTAAAATGGCAAACATAGGTATTTCAGACAAGTAATAAAAAAACATTTCTTTAGCGCATAAAGTTCAAATCGAAATTCCCTCGATCCAGATATTGAAAAAAGCTCTTTCGATTGTTTTAGTCGTCTTTTTCATGGATTTGAAAGACTAGATAGACTTTGAAATTTACAAAAACGAGTCTATACCAGTCTTGTTGATATTCAATAGCTGGCAAGCTCAGCGGTTCCTGAAGTGAAATATGAAGTTCGTTACGTGAAATGTGAGGTGTGCAGTTGTTCGTGTACTACAATATATGGTAGATAGTGGTGTGGCAGTGCGGTAGCGGCACGTTATTTATATACGTATATGTACCGAGTGAGGTAGCACTCCGGCGCATCCGACTGCTGTACTATGTGCCTGTTTTGTAGTTTTGTTTACTCAGCATGGAGCGCGCGCACCCGCCCGCCGCGCCCCGCCACAACTACGCACATTCCACGCTACACCTCAACATGCGCCGGAATTTCTATGCAACAGATGCATTACAAGGTATTCGTCTAATGCAACACTGACGCGCCTCTTCAAATATTTAACCATTACTTTGCCTCTTCTACTACGTATCAAATTACCACAAGTGTTGTGCAACGATCTGTTGTGGTGCAGATTAAAATGTCCCAGTTTCTACGAATATAACGACAAATGTTTAGTTAACTTCAATAACAAAACGCGAGACAGAAATCGTGACGTTTCTGGTTTATTGTCAGTTCCTAAAGCGATTAGGTGCACTATTTTTAAACTGGAATTTAAATATAAGCGCGTGGTATTTTAAAAGCAGGAAGGGGAAATTCTACGCATATTTTAAGTGGAACATTTGTTGCTTGCACGCACCCTAGTGCCTTGTTATATTCATTTACGTGGTAAGTAGGTATAAGTTTCTTACAGTATAGGTACATCAGCATAGATGTTTTTCAACACAACCTGTATAACCTGTATATAAACCTGTATGTGATAATTTTGGATTATAGTAAATAACCATTTATGAATTTAGTTAATTTGCAAACGGTATATTTTGTAAATGATATGTCTTAACAATATTTTCGTTAATCTATGACACGAGGTAAATGATCACTTCTATGAATGAAATAATGTTTAGTCAATAAGCGAACACGTGTTGACGCACGCATCTGTTGTCTCAGTCTATTCGTATTGCGTATTTGACATATATTTCTCAATGGTATTTCCATGTGAACGTAATAAATAGTCGATCATCTTTTGGAGATCTACTACTTTATTAAAAGTTTTCAATTCATTCAATGACAGGTCTGAAGTGAAGTCCGTTTGTGAAGTCACCTACTTACTATACCTTGAATGAAAATTTTGCATTTATGTACATATAAATTTCCATTTATCTGTTACGAAATGTAGAAGGTACTCTAAGAAAATATTTATTTATTACTTAGTATTCATGTAAACAAAGTAGTGAAGAAAGCGTAAGCTTGTAAAGTTGGTAAAAGTGGGGCCCATGTTTGATGCCCGCACAGAGGCCAATTTACATAAAAGAGCTTTTGTCGTGAATCTATCTCAGTATCGAATTATTTAATGGGTTTACAATATACATCATACTCTGTAGTCGCTAATGCTTTTATGTGATCGCGCCTGCGAGCCCCGATGCGGGCCCATGATTCGTATCACACGCTGAGAGCAACACATCAGCCATCAAATGCAACGCCTGGTGATGCGCGTAGGAGGAAACTGATATACAACGTTCATTAATTATTACACTCTTTTCCAAATAATTTAACACTTATCAATGCCGAATCTTACCATTTTAATTAAAATTTCCAAGTAGGTAACCTACACTTAATCAAAGACGTCAATTAAAAATTTTAATACGACAAATATGTTACTCATTTAAATTCAGCGTAATCGCCTCAGATTTGAATTCACTCATTTTTGAAATTAATGTATAATAGGTACTAAGTCGTTGTGTCACTACACACTACTCTAACTTTAACCAAATAAAGTTCCATATAGGAAATAGTAACAACATTTTATCAAAGTTCAAATGCTCATTCATTATTTAAATGGAACGAGTCACATGTGTAGTAAACAAAACGCATACCAATATAATTGTAGGACGCATGTCCAGAAAGCAAATGAAATGACCTAAAACATTGTGCCATTCACCACTTTTTGCTGTTATCAATCGTAGGTATGGAATTTCAACGTGAATCATCGTCAAGTGGCGCTTGTGCTTGGGTATCTTGAACTAGGAGGGAAAGAGACAGCCGAATGTACCACCATTCGGATTTAATTGACTGGTTACGAACTCGGACCCTGCCGTAGGGACGTCACCTCACTTACATCGACTTTCTAAAAATTCCGGATGGTACTTGAATAACTCTCTATGGCAATTCCTGTTTGAAAGAATGTTCTCACCTTGTTTGTGTATATGATTTGTACAAACAAATTAATTTTACCGATTTGAGATAACTTTGTTACGTTTTCCATACAAAAATAATTTCCTACTTGGAACAACTACGCCGCAAAATGTAAATACAAACTCTAAAGGTACACGCGTATTGAGGATGTGCTACAACACTTCGGCCCGTATAATGTTGTTGCGTAAGAATGTAAACAATATTCTAATCAGCATAAAAATATCGATAGTGCGTTCTTCACTAGAACTCTGGTATGTCGACGACAAAAACACGTAGTGCAGGAGGAGTGGGGAGCGAGATTAAGGTCCTTCTAAAATGCAGTCGGCTTACCTAAACACATTCAAGCTTTTATCACTCACACAGATAAATATAAATAGAAAGTATTTTAGTAGTATAAAACTTATAACAGTGGAGTTACAGTCGAAATCGGCATAGCAGCGGCGCCAAGTCGCAGGCAGCACGCATGCGAGCAACTAAAACGGTATCGTAGGAATAGTAAACAATTAACTGCTCGATGCGTAGACCTTGTTTGATAAAATGTTCACGTCACATGTTTCCAATTCAATACTTGATACTCATGTTATACAAGGACTGCTGGTACCTACGTCCATTCATGAATATACGCAATTTGTTTTTAATTCATATCAAAATGAACTTAACAGCTCTGTTCTGAAGTACTTCGAAGTAATCAAATAAATATGAATGATTTTATTACAAAAGTACAAAAATATTGCGTAAAACGTGACGTCATGCCATACAAGACATTCTCTAATTAGGAAGTACGAATTTATAATTAGTATATCTTGTTGTTGATCAACTTTATACCCAGTAAACATGGCACACATATGTGTGACATCAGTAAAACGAGACTCTATTAACCTCAATTTGAATAATTTCAATGATGAACTGTTTGTGATTGCCTCCCTGGGCACTGCGTACAACACATCCGTTCGATAAGGGCCATGTCAAGTTCCAACACATAAAATAACTTTTTGACGTTACTTATTTATAGTGGCTTCAGTGTATTTTAAACTCTTTAATGAAAAAATGTAAACAATAAATTTAACGGAAACTTTTTAAAATTTAAGAAAATAATGTCTTAAGTTTACTTACTTGAAGAGGGAACTGCATTTCCGCCTTCCCTCCCGCTCATGGTAACTAAAAATTATCAACTGGCACCACAAATATCACCTCTGCGTATCATACATCCTCTGATTGAAAAAAGGCACTTTGTTTATAATAAGTTCATTTACCTTTGCACGTTAAAACTTATTAACTATCAAAATGTGTTAAGTGCATAAAGGCGGACGCGCGTGCGCGCGAAGCGACCAGCGACGCGTACGCAGGTCGACTGCATCGAAAATGAGTGACAGTGGTGTAGAGTCGACGCCGCGGTGATGCGGTCGGTCCCTTCCCGGATATCGTCAAGCAAGTAGTTTTTAAAATAGAGAAGCTAACGAAACGTGTACACCGCCCGAAAGCGCCGGCCGCTTTACCCCAACCCAAATTGTGTCACTTGTTGGCGCGGCGGCGGCGCAGCGCGCAGCGTACAGCACAGCGTTCCCTGCGCTGCCAACAGACACGAGCGCGCTGCAGGGTGAACGGCTTCTACTACCTACCTCACATATTGCTTACAAACACCCAACAACATCTTCAAACCTAACAAAAAATATTCTCAATAGAAGCCGCGTACGACCAACCACAAAAGGGATCTTTTGGGACTGACCAAGTTCCAAAGTCTCTTTGTTTTTATATCCTGCAGCGATAAAATGTTTTTATTGTACTATTTTCAGAATTGTAACTAAATAAACTAGGTTACGTAAAGTGTTACTTGCGATTTCCTCTGTAGGTAGGTATTAAAAAAGTTTATGCTGAAAAACCGTTGAGTGAGCTTTTGTGGGCTTCTGTACAGACTATAATTAAATGTTTGTTGAGGTTAAAACATTCACCCTCATGATAAATGTATAATATGATAAATTAATACGCAGTTCAAAGTAAGTTTAAAAAACAGATGAATTGCACGTTTTATGACCGTATTAATAAAAGTATTTGATGTAATATTTTTATGTTGCTCATTTGATCAATTATTTTTATAGTGAAATACGATTTAAAAATAACGGAATGTTTTCTTAGTTTTTGAGTCGTGTGATAATGAAAGAATCCAATCTTGAACCCAACATGTGTGTCACCGTCACTTCTGAGAGACAACTTTGATCGGAATGCAGAGTTCGCGTCTAAGTTTATGGCGTGCATTAACTCGAGATACTCGGTCCTGTTGGATCACAAACCATGTGGAATTAGTTTTATTGAATGAATACTATCTCTAACATTTATTTCTTTTGTTCTATGTGTATTATTTCAGCAATACTTAGCAGGTACTCCTGTAAATATATTGGAACATTAAAGGGTTTTGAAACAAATTGTTTTTCTACAGGTTTAATATTAAACATGTTGAAACGGACTTAATCATTGAAATATTCACAATTAGTGTTCCTTAAATATTAGTGAATTTAAAATGTCTTTCTTTTCGATTTCATGTAGTTTATGAACTTTTATGCGATTCATGCAAGTTGCTACATTGATGAAAGTAACGGATATAACACACCGACACAATAGGTACTTTGTAAAGGGAGGAAAGTGGAAGAAAGATCCCAGGCTCAAATTCAAGTCAGAAAGCAGAATAAACAGATCAATGAACAAAGTATTCACTCAATTCTTTAAATCTGCAATCCCCTCTGAATTTGTGTTAAATTCATTACCAATGCTTGATACGCATTGTTACTAGTGTGACAATTTCACACATGCTTTTCTGTATTTCTGGTGAGAACCAGGTATGGCGAAATTTGGCTCATGTCCTCCCCAACCGTTAGAGGGAGTCCCCTTCGGTCACGTCACTTACTGACGACCTGGCCAACCGGACCCATTGTTGCTGATCTAATCCACGTATGATTATGCATCAACAATATTTGACAATAGCCCTCTCACAAGAAAAACTAGTTTTGTAAATAATGTAACTTGACCAATTGTCGTATTCACTTTCTCTGAACTTTTCACCCCAAGCAGTAGCTAGTTAAAGTTTTTAATTTCTATTACTTGATGCAAATTAAAACCAACTGATTAATCAATTGTTAGACTTCCCTTCGCAGAAATCTGATTCATATTGTATGAAAAATGTTAAAAAACGAGATGAGTAATACATTCGTAGGTTATAAGGGTTTAAAGATATGATTTGTTAACCTTGAAACGATAACCACAGCTACTTCTGATCGTTCTACCTACAATAAAGGTCAATCAAATACAACATATAAACTTGGAGGAAATATTAATAATTCAAATGGTTGTAGCATTTACTAGAATCACTTGTCTATCCAATAAAAATTTACTGATTTAACAACCTGTGGTTACTTATTTAAACTATTTTCGTCAATAAAACTGCAGGTTGTTGTCATTTTTATAACAAAAAGCAATAATTTCGTAAGAAACATTGAGTTATTAAAGGCACAAACACCAATCAAATGGCCTTAAAGTGTCATCTAGCGTTTGACTGTTGTACGAAAATATTTCGTGGTTTGGATCCCAATTTGTTAGTTCGTCAAGTTAACTGCAGATGGCATTAGCATCGTAAATATCGTACCGCCATCTGTACTAGTGTTTGGGAACTTTAAAATGAATGTAGAGCCGGAGGGTACAGCGGTGGACCCCACTGTATAATGTTAATTTCGATTTGAAGGCGTTCCCTACATAGGGGTGGTGCCAACTGGCACCCTCAAATATAAAATAGGTACGTATACGGTTTCATATCCTCTGAATTGAAGATTTGTTTCACGAACGCTTAAAATTCTCTAACCGCCGCGCCGATTATAAAAATATCTCTGAAAGATGTATTTAGAGAAAATACAAGAGCGTACTTTTTCGAAACATCATTAATTTTAGAATTAGAAAATAATACAATAACTTAACAATTGGTTTACATTTAATCTTATACATGAAATTATTTCTTGATGGGACGAGTTAGAGAAATCATGGGACACAAAGAAAATAAATGAATTAATTAATGGTTTTACAAACATTGTCAGGATAGTACTTTCCTATTATTACTTGATTTTTGAGACTTACCTTTATAGCGATTAGAAATATTTATAATGCCCCAAAAACATCAGTAGTAATTAATTTATTTTGTTAATCATCCTTTTAGTATCGGTATCGAAAAATCAGTTTAAAAAAAATAGAAATGAGTTTCTTTTTATACGCTTTTAAAGGTTATAAAAAATTGTTTAAATAAAATTTTAGATTAATAAACATGCGTAGTATTTCAATGCTACGAACTTTACTCGCACTGCTACGCTATCTGGTCTACGCGCTACGCCGTTGCTACGCTTACTACGCACATACGAATTGCGAATTGCAAAAATAGCTAAACATTTCTCTGATATTATCATATATATAAAGTCGATAAAATAAACGAGAACTTAACTGAACACCATAACGATACACCTTCTTAACCTCCACAGAGGTAGGCAGGGGCCCACGTTTAGTAAAAGTAACACTCACTTATCACCTGTTTCGTTATGAGTCCCAATGTCATTGGCTCTGAGTATATTGCCATACACCGAGCACAATTTCAAAATCCATGCTACTACTGAGAATTTTTCGAAAAATCAATGGCACTAGAATTTGATCCTCCATAAGGAACAGTATTATTTACCATTTTCAAAATTTTAAATATAGTAGCATAGATTTTGGAATTGTGTGAATTAATTATTATCGATTACATGAACTCATAGGATAAAGATCTGGTGAAAAGCAAGTCTTAGTATGCTGTGCAGTTGGGTTAGTCAAAGGTGGATATAGAAATTTTGTAATTAATTGATACCAGATGACATGCACTATGAAAGTGCATAAAATATTTATAAAACATGCGCCAAAAGACCCGAAATAAGTACTAAGCATGAATAATAAACATATTCATAGAACAAAACTAAAATCTTCATTATAGTTTCTAGACAAACGTATCCTTAATTACTTTGACAATGAGAACCAGGTTTTGACCAATTGTAATGCATAATAATGAATCTTACAGGTTCCATTGTACTGAGGTGTTCCGTTAAGAGTGCCATTGGTGATGACGATGGGAGAGGATGCCTTGCTGATCTCTGCCGCGTGGTTGGCTGCCCACGATGCTGCCGCCGCCGCCGCTGCTGCAGCTGCGGCCGCTGCCGCTGCGCACACGCTGCACTCTGTAAATAAATTTTATATTATGTAATACTAGCTTTTACCCGCGGCTTAGCTCGCGTCACAAAAGGATAAAAAGTAGTCTATGTGACATATACCAATACACACATCGCCATCTATACCAAAACTTTTGTTTTCCCTCGGGAATATTACATTTTTCCGGGATTAAAAGTACCCTATTATTTAATCCGGACTTCTAACTTTATGTTTGCAAAAATCCAAAGCTTAGTAGTAACGGCGTGAAAGCGGAACAAACAAACAAACTCATTTTCCGATTTATAATATTAGTAAGGATAAGGATTTATTATAATGATAGTGGTGGATTAGTAGTTGTAGTATCTCCCACAACTATTGCAACAAAACATAAATATTAGGTATGCTGCACTGCTACAACTGCAGATAGTAAACTGTTAAAAGAGATCGAGTCAAAATATTCCAACACCAAAACACAACAGTATCGCCATATTGGTAAAAAATAAGGAGCTAAGCCGATGGACGCTGGACAAAAACTTTTTTTGAAATGCAACTTAGATTTATCCACAATACGTCTACTCTTATTGTATTGAGTTAAAGTTCATAATTGTATATGAAGATTATGAAATATGAATGTTATAGAGTTTGCACAATGCTAAAACAAAGAAGGTTTGTATAACTAGTTAGTAGAAAGCAGGTACCTTCTTTCTTCTCCCCGAATCTTGTATACAATTTTGTTACTACATTTGACAAATACCATTAAATAACAATGCCAATAGTTCTTAAAGGCTTTACAACAATAAAATTACAGAAATTACCAACTTATTGGAAAATATTGCTTTTACAATCGTTACTAGTTTTTAAATAAAACTAATTAGATACAATCAATATTCCCGTCAATTGTTACGATCCTTCCATACGGTATCTCCATCATGCACCTGTATTGTATGTGGACTCAATGTTATATCTCTCCTGACATTATAAACAATTATTATTAATTGGCTGTTGTCTGCTACTTCGTCCGCGTAGAATATGTTTCCTGTTTTATCCCATGAGATCATTTGATCGGAATAAAAAGTATCCTATCTGCTGCCTATATATCAAATTTCACCTAAATCCATTCTGGAGTTTCAGCGTGATTGTCAGACAAACATCCAAACAAAGAAACTTTCACATTTATAATATTAGTGTGATTAATATTATTTACATGCAATGCTATTTCTCTCCCAACATTATTTACTCGAACCGTAAATATACTCTTTTATACATTAGTATAGAAAGACAGAGTATAGACTAGCTTTTGTCTTTTATTGAGCTGTAATCAGCTTAAAGTCTTTTCATAATATGTAGACATTCTTACATGTTAAAATAAAATTTCAGATATTTGTATTATAACATTCGTGAGACATACTAGATAAATTATTATGTTTTCGGCTTATACACGTAATTATTTGACGAGGAACTCGACTAGTTTCAAGCCATGCTAGAGACTCATATTCACTCATTTCAGAAACTAGTCAGATAAAATTTCAGACGTCTTATTAGAAAGATATTCTTACTAGAACGTATTCTAATTTATTTCGTATCATCAGAAGATGCTTCGTCCGCATGAAATAGTGATTTAGACATTTTCGTAAAAATAATAATATAATATCGCATGTCGCTCAGTAAAGATGCAGATTTCTTTTAATGAAATAATTTTTGACTTTGGTCCGGGAATTTTCGTTTGAAAATATTACAAACATACATACAAAAACACAAACGTTTCTCTTAATAATAGTTTAGATTTAAGGGAAATTAGAATATGAATGTATATATTTAGATGTATATCTTGGTTCAATACTAAATAAACAAAACTAAAAAAATAAACAAATGTCTACATATGTATTGTAAATACAAAAGATTATCTAATGGAAATTTAGAATTGGAAAAAATAATAACGTTTTCTCGTTAGTTGTTGATTAATTTATTTAATTTTAATTTATAAACGTATTATGTATTTACGACTAATTAAAATTAGTATAGAACTATGATTTAAAAATGCACTGCTTAAATTCTGTTTCAATACAATTTTAATAGAATAACAATGTGAACTTATTGTTAATTCAGTATGAATTCAGTATAAATTTGTAATTGTATGTTGCTTTAAGTTATCATTTGTAATTAACACTTTTTAGGGCCGATTTATCAATCAACATTTAATTCTTAACTGTACAATAAAATTGACAGTTAACAGTTTTTAGTATGGAAGAATTCTCAAATAGTTAGAAATATCGGTCCTTAATCAAAATAATAATTTCATCAATTTCGTTTGAATCTACGTTTCGTTTGAGTATTATTTGTTGTACTCTCATTCTCTCCTTTTCTCTGTCCAATAAGAATCAAAGGGTTTTTAACGTTTAAACCGTTAAACGTATTGAAAGTAAATGTTTTCTTTGTTGTTTTATAATTTTACTTGAAATACAATATAAGCAAGTACAAGTGTGAAGATATCAATTTATTGACTCAGTTACCATAACTAAACGAATTCAGTATATCGTCCTAAATTCAGTAACCCTTTACATGACTCGAAAATAATTAATTCGCATCTAATATTTTTGTTTACTATCGAACAAGCTTTCATAAATGTATTGAACTTTAAAGTAATTCCAATATCAGGATTTATATGAGAAATATCAATGTAAAATGCGAATTTATATGATTCTAGATTCAACATACTGGTTCTCAAGCAAGTAGGCATATAAAATCTCACCCTTCATGTACGCCGCGTGCCGCCCCTCTAAAGAGAAACCCCAACAACCGTATCACATACGCACTGCTACTTAAAAATATTCATACATAGGCCTTTTTTAATGTCAAACATAGTTCAATAAAAAACACAATTACACTTCACTAATATCTCGCTGACAAAAGGAAGAAAGCGCGCGTCGAAATTCTTTAAACCCTATTCATTGATTTTAACAAATATTTATTAGGTTTTTTATAATGTCGTAATTGTGAAATGATATTGGTATACATGCTAGAGTTGCTACCCGCGTGACGATTACCGAAAGACTGCGTCGACCGTTTTGATTTGGGGTGACGCGCATGGACGGGGGATGTTGCCTATATTTACTACAAGTAAATACAATAGTAACACTTTGTTGATATTTGTGAAATATTATTTGCTCGTAAATTTTATAAAAATATGACTTAAAACGTTTTTCTAGAAGTTTTAAATCGATTTAGGCTTCGTCTTGGGGTTTAAGAACTTGATCTGTTACGCGCTCAGTGAATACCATTGTTCTCTTTTGAGGAACTGTTTTTCTAGTATATTTAATAAATTGAACGAAATATTGAAATCAAAATTAAGAAAATGTATTTTTAATTCTTTCATTCGAATTTAAGTAAATGTAATGAAATTTTCATTTCTTCTAAACAGCACGGACATTCAGACTGCCGGTAAATTGACTTTATGGGTTTAAATAGTACCTAATTAATATTGCAAAACTCAAAATGTATTGCTTTACAACAATTTAGACAACCACACAAACCGTCTAAAATGTGTATGTTAGATCTTCTTAAAAGATTTTGGGCTTTTATGCGAGGTCAGTAAAAAATATAATACTTTCACGGTGTTGTATCAATAAGCTGTATTTACTTCTACACTTGTACTATATTTTACGAGTTGAATGTATTCCCAACATAATCATTAAAGACACTTTTTTATTTTTCGGTAAATTTTAACTCTATAACCAAACATAAGTATAAAATGAATAAAATGAAATAATTGATCAAGAATTTATTTAATTTATTTCATTCAGATTTTTATCCGATAAAGGCAGATTTCAAAGCCGATTTTAATTTTAGAGTAAGTTCATTTTGTTATAGACAACAGTTCACCTCCTCCAGACAATACATTATATCATGAATTCACTAAAAATTCAATTCTATTCAACAGGTAATTTTCAATAAAGTTCAATACAAATCACTAATTTTTTGTTTTCAATATAATTTAGAAAAAAAAGTAATAATTTAAATAAGTGAGATGGTCGGCGGCCATATTTGCGAAAGTTTGGTGTAGGGCACGCATGCGCACAGCGACGAGTGAATACAAACAGCCGGCCGCACATCTGCTGGTCAGCTCGTGGACACAATGCCGACTACAGACACCATGTTTTAGTAAATCAGAGACCATTTTCGATGTTATTTCATAGGAATATCGAATGATTTAAATATACAGAATTTTAAACATGCGTTTAAGTCTTTTGTACTTGAGCTTCTTGTTTAGGTATTGTGAATTGGTAGGTTTAGTCAATAGTTAATGACTGATACTAGTATCTACTCGTTCCAATTTACGTTCGATTTGAACTAATTACTACATCTTATAATGATAGTGGCAATCGCCGTAGCAGTTCTTTTATCATATTATGTTTATTTTCATTTTGGTCGACTATCACTTTTATTTAATTACTAGTTCTAGTTAATTTTAAAACAAATTTTGAACAAAAAAGTTATCTTTATAGTCAGTGCAGGTGTACTTAGAAATTCTTAGGTATAAAACCTATGTATACATATGCAGATATAATTATAACATAATATGTTGACCTGTTAATATATGTACAGTAGGTGTGCCTACTGTTAATATTTTTTAATTACCAACTTTGTCTGGTTTAATATGTCCAATGCAACTCAAATTGTGGCTGCCCTACACTATTACCTGACCCGCACGACGCCTAGGCGCGCGTACGTCAATGCTCCAATTTTTTTCTAACACATTTCGCTAAAATCAATGTTATGCGATTTGATATGCACATTTCGATCGTTTGCAGATTTCAACTAAGTTGTCAATTGTTGATGGTCTTTTTATAATTATTTTTAGAACTCTTATGGAGAACATTATGTGAAGAGTGAGTGAGTGAGTAAGAATGTTGGTTAACCTATAATTGGCGACTGTATAAACTAAATACTTAATGTTACTTTCATATCACTTAATGCTATGTATACAGAAGCTGTTGGTATACCTATTTAAATAAATAAAAAAAATAAACATTTGACGTAAAACTAAAGTACTAGTAGTAGTTTAGTGATTACATTGGGTTGGTATACGTTGATTACTAGACTCATTCTGGCAGACTTTTTTAATTCCTCCGAGTAAATATTGTGGAGATACTAATTAATGCTAGATAAATACATAGATATAGATACTAATCAATAATACTAATTAATAAATGTTGAAACTAATTTATTGCAAAACTATTTTTGCAAAAGGTGTATAGTATAGTACTACAAATCAAAGCTAATCAGCCTGCACTTTGTGGGGAAATATATCAATGTATTAAAAACTAAAAAAGGCCATAAAATCTATCACATCATCATAATGTGTCATGAAATATTTACTTTTAATAAGCGGCAGGATTAAAGGTCCCTGTTATTTGTAAATAGGGGATGGTTTTTTATCCATTAATGCAAAAATATTAGCTATGAAAAAACGAATGCGACAAAAAATTGATCAGACGCGTGTCACAGGGAATGTCGTGGACAATGGGCATACTGTGCCCGATAATGAGAACCGATACAATAAAATAGAAATATAAATAAATAATAAAACATATCCACATGAAATTGGTATCGTATCAAGTGTTAATTTTATGCCCAACGGGAATAATTGCAAGATTCTATAGTGCTTAGTAAAAGTAGTAAAATTAGGTTAATTTACTAGTTAATGATTAGGTAAAAATCGGTGTTTGTTACCACTTTCAGAACAGAGTTCTCATATATTCTGCTTACCCAATCTGAGATATAATTAGAATTGAATTGACTGAACTGTGAAGATATAATCCCTGTTTGAGTTGGATCTCAAACAACACAGAAGTCAGTATACAAATGAAATTCAAAATTTTATTCTTTTGTGGCCTTTTAGTTATTTGTAATTACTTATTAAGGTCTTTAAGTTTTAGATATTCCTCATATCAATACGTAGGCGTAGGCGTAGTATTTTTAACATTTCTATGAATGTATGTTACTGAAATATAACAACACCAAACAGTCTCTTTTCCCCAACATCACTCAGCATTATTTTTATTATTTTGACGTAAATGCAGATGGCAATTTGCGAGTGACCGTTGCCTGTCAATCAATCTCTACAAGGCAGGGGCACATCTAAAAAACTGACCCCTCGTTGACCATACAAAAAGGCAAAAAAAATCACAATAGTTCCCAAAAAACCAAATTGAGGATTGCGAATAAACCCCCAAATTAAAGTAAGGACTTATTCTTTGTTATTGAGTCGCGTGCCACCCCTCATGACAATAAAAAGTGATATATTTTAAAATTAGCGAAATTATCAGATTCTACCACTTATTTATATTTATCACTTTTCAATGGAAATGACAATGGCCATATAAGGAATATAGGTGTAGACGAATTTCCAAATAACAGATGACTAGTACTTGTAAAGTAAAATATCAAATCTAAGACCACTTCGATTTATCAACTTTATGTTCTAACATCATGCCCTGTCTCTTTACCATTTGAAGGTAGACTGAGAGAGAATGTCCATCTACGTAGGTTCTGTGCATAAAGCATTGAATTAAAATAAAAAAATAGAAGCCAACATTGCGCTTAAAAATCGAATGCCTAAACCAATGACTGGAACAAAAAAAGTTAATTAACCATTGGTATTGCTAATTGAAAGACACTCCTTAAAAGTGTTTGCTCTTTACCAACCTAAATTTAGCAAATCAATTATATAATTTAGATTCGTATTTCATATACATAGACATTTTGTCAAGTCATCATCTCGTTGAGTCAGTCACGAGCTCTCGATCCCTGAGAGTCGCGGGGGAGTGCACCCTCGGTGCAACAACTTTTTGCCCACACAATGTCGTTCATTCGCTCAATCATCGCGTCACGTCCACAGTTTACATATTCGCGAAACAAACTCCACCGAACAATGACTGAATCAAAATTTGACATGTTTAAGTCATGGTGAGTTTGTTTATTGGTAGGTTTAGCACTAATATTTGATAATACTTAGGGTGTTCTCCATTGAAGTGTTTGAGTGGCCTTTGATAGTGTTACAAAAAAGGACACAACAATTTGTATACGTTTCTTCTTTAAAAAAAAATATACATAACTAAGCAGTTTTGTATACGTTTCTTCAATTAAAAAAAATATACATAACTAACCAGTTATGATCCATCGTAGCCAGAAACCGAAGTAGATTTTGTTTTTATGGATATTTTTTAGAAGAAAGAAATTTTTTGGAGAAATCCCACATTTAAGCAATACGTACGGTAATTGTGATTTGTAAATGAATACTAGTAATACCGATGTTGTTAATTTATGTTATTTTCTAATTTATTGTACACAATAAATACATAAATCTATTAAACACATGATTATGTAAACTGTATGCTAACAAGATATCCCTTAAAACTACAACAATCGTAATCATAAGAGATTTGGTAGATGAATAATCCAAAATACTAGTTATGGCAGTTGGATTTTCTTACAGATTTTTAGGGAATAGGCAATATCTTTACAAAAGTGATTTGATTTCGGTATAACACTGTGATACTAATATTGTATTAAAAGGTTAGGTCTTAACCTTGGTTAAAAAGGGCTTTTAAAAAACTACAATGTCTGGGCTAGAATGTTGAGGTATCTAAATCAACTTTAAATTAGAGTTTAACCCATAGATTTACTTCACAGAGAGAGTTTCACATTTAACTAATGTTCGCAATTTGCTGGGTTACCAAAATTTCGCATAGAAGAACAAAATGATTTTTTGTATAATGATAAAGGGCGAGCACCCTCATAGGGTCCTGGCTTGTCATTGGTCGGTTTACGGAGGGACGCTGCGCGGTGCGCAAGGTCGCTTCGAACCCCGCGCAGCCAATCAATTCGCTTATTTTTTAAATAAAGAATAAAAATGATAAAAAACGTTCGCGTTTTACGAACCACGCGTTACTTTACATACATACATACGTCCCTTATGTATATGTGATTGATAGTCCACGGATCTGTATAGTTGTTTACTATAGAAATTACATTACTGCGTAGTATTATTATTTTTTACTGCGTATGTTGAAGTGGTGTTATTTACAAATTATTATTATAATTTTACACTTAAAAGTTGCTGTTTATGTTTTTTTGCTTATTAGTTAAGGCGTAGATGGTTAGAAGATTTCACCTTTGTCCTTACCGATTACACTTCAGTTCTAGGGTCAAATGTTTCAGATAGGGCAGTTATTATATTTTTTTAGAATTTGTAAGTTATCTTAGTCAAGCTCCATTTCACCATTTCCAGTTATCCTTAACAAACAATACAATTCTATTAAACATTTTGGTGGTATTTTTTATATATGAAATGAGAGGGATATTAAGGAGAGATGCAATATTACATAACATAACATCACGCCTTTTATCCCTGAAGAGGCAGAGGTACACATTATGCAACTGTTCAATGTAATACCCACTTTTCACTATTTATGTTATGAGTCCCATGGGCCTATTGCCTTATACCGGGCACAATTCAAAACTCCGTGCTACTACTAAGATTTTATTAAAACTCAGTAATTCTTTGCCCGACCCGGGAATCGAACCCGTGACCCCTTGCAGGTGCCGGCAGTCGCACTTGCGACCACTAGGTTAACGAGGATTCAACACCTTCGTTTTTAAAGTCGGTTAATTAATATATGTACTACAACCTTCTCCTTAGTGTACACAAACTCTTTTCTGAAAACTGCATCAAAACGGTTCAGCTAATCGTGAGATAATCGCGCACAAACATACAAACATACATACAGGTCAAACAGAGAACCTAGTTTTTTTGAAGTCGGTTGAAAACGCTCCGTTGTGATATCAAATAACCATATACTTCACTAATTTCGTTTATTTAACCCTTAAAGGAGTTTCTAAACTCAGTGTCTTCACCCAAACATGGTGACTGGACTAAGTACTTAAATATGTCCACAATATCACTTAAAATTTAACATTATTGATATACAAATCATCGTAAGCTCAAGTACTACACGTAAACTCTGTCGCGGAGAACCTAACGGGTAAACGGGGCTCCGGCTCGACGTGCAGGAGAAGGAACGGGGTGGTTTTTAGTCAGTAAGAGTCTGACACTCCCTTCCGCCTCACCCAGGCGGGAGCAGTCATTCGACGATTTTCCCCCCTTAAAAAAAACTCTGGGGTAAAAATAATATTGATTTTATTTGGTAGCGGTAGATTTGTCGATACGGTCTCAAAGATTGGGTCTTTCTCTCTATCTCCCGATAATTGACAAAAGGCGCATATAAGATTTACACCCGTATACTGAAAGGCTACTCAATTATAAGTTGTACTTACTTAAATATCGTGCCTTCTCTGTCATTTTACAAAGAATGTGTAGTGACAGAACTATGCTTAAGCGCGACTTAATATTGTTTGGCGTTTCAGTATTCGGGCATTAGAAACCTACATTATAATGTCTGGTCAAGTTTGTTAGTTTATCAGATGTATTACATTAATTTAAGTATTTAGTTAGAGTACAAACTTTTTACAATTATCCTATGTGTTTGTTATTGGCTTTCGGTACCGACTTCTATAACGCTATTAGAAAAGTTCAATTAAGTACACCGTTTGTTAATAAATTATGAATGTTAATTGTTAACATTCGTAAACAATTATTATGTTGAAAACATAATAATGATAATAATTAAGTCCACTTTTTTTTACTTTAACAAATGGCCATCTGTCGGAAGTCTTTAGAACCACTCAGTCGTTCATTTGTGTAAACTATGAACGGCATAGAACACTTTTTGCCTTGCCCATACTCGCTCCGATTTATAGAGAAGGGGAAGTGAATAGTTTCTACACACGAAAACAGATGGCGTTGTGGAGACAAGTTCTGGGTTGTGTCTGTTTAAGATTGAAAGTTTCTGAAGTTTTCTCAAGTTTCCAGAACATGTTGTTTCAGATGATGTTATTGGCAGTGGCGTTGGTGTTGTTGTATCATTGTATGTTTTTTAAGTGCCGCGCATATTTGGTATAAAGACCTCATGCTTAAATTTTGGTACTTATTTGCTATAACTAGAGCTAGTAAGTTGAGCCAGTGTAAAACTAAACTTAACAACTTGGTTAAATTACAGTCGACTACGAAACCTAAACTAAACCAGTACAGCGGAAATTACAAGCACTAACACGAGGTAACGGCGGATCGTCGGCTGTGATTTACCAAGATTATCCCGGCAGGCTCTTAGGGCGAGGGCCGTCTAACGGGACCGCGTGTTTCGATTTCGTAGAGCATTTCTCCGCGCAGTCCCGTTACTCGGCCGAAAGTACTTTTGTTGGTTGCTCGCGCGTCGAGCCAACGCCATGCGCGCCGCTCCGCTCGCTTACACGACCGATCGCTCGAGTTCACTGTATTGAGAACAACGTCGTTGTTTAGTACGAGTTCCCTCAAAACAAAGGCCTTTTCAAAATAAAATGGCTCCACAAGGAGAATGTTAAGTTCAGTTATTCTTACAGTTATATCTTTCAACTTCATTTACATAATTTATTATCACATTTAACTTGTCAAGCTTACCATCTTATGCAATATGCATAAAGTTTGATTATATTGGTTAAGTTAAACAAATTAAAGGGGTCCAAAGAAGTAAGTCAATAAAATTTAGTGGCGAGTTGTGTAAGCGAGTGGCCTTGCGAGCGCGCGGGTCGATGACTGCCGCTGACTGGATGATGTTTACCTTATCAACAGAGTGAGCGTAACCAACGAAAGTTCCAGCGCCTAACTTTGAGCCCAAAATTTTTGAGAGCGCTACACATTTATTGCATGGGTCTGAACGACTACGGCGTAGCACGTTTATTGCCCTGCTACGGCTACATTGTCTCTATCTTATAAGCTTAATTGCGGCCATCAACAAAAAGTTCCTAAAAAACGTTTATTGATTCGTATTATTTTCTAAACGCAAAAAATGTATGATAGTTTTAAATCTCTACGGCTTAAAAAAAATTAACCTTGAATTTGAGCTATCGTTTTTGAACTTGAGTCCTTAGAGAAAAAGTTTAACGAACATTTTTTTGGGCAATAGTGAAGTATAGGAATATTCCATAGCGAGTCCGTCAGTTGGCACTAGGCGTCGCGGCGCGGTGATCAGGCCGGTATGGGGGGGAGGCTTGCGCGGTGACGTAATCCATGCGGTTCGATACTCTCGAAAGGCTGCGGGGTCGATGGCCGCTAGACGCGGAACCGCAGCCTACACGACTGCTCAATTAAACATTCCGCATGTACATTGTACCCATACCCACACCGTGGAACATCGTCACATACAAATATTCATTTTCATAATATAATAATAGCCGATAACACCACGTAAATATTGACACTGATACAGTTTCATATTGTACAAATATAAATTCAATGCATAAAGTCAAAGACCGGTTAATAAATGCATGGAATAGTTTATAATATAAATATACATATTGGCTCTACGCCAATATTAACACTTTATTAAAATGTAGCCTTTTTCAAGCAGGTAGGTAATAATCTGAAAAATTAAATAATCTTGAGTTCAACACCCTCACAATGGTGATGTTACTTCCTTAAGTGGCAAAGACAATTTGTCTGTGTATTCTGTAATGTTTTCGTAACTGTAAATAAATAATGAATCTTGCAAAATATGAATTATAGTCGACAATAAATGGAGGCCTATAATTAAACAAATGGTGACCAAACCTACGCGATTAATCAAACGCCCACGTCGCGGTCGGCCTACAGATTGAATTGTTCTGCCACACGTCTTACTCGCCTTGCTAATTATATTATTAAACGTCGCGATTGAATCGTAAGATATGCGTAAGATGACGAAGGTTTGCGTTGCAGTGAGACAGTATAGGAATTTTGAGAAAAGTAAATAAATGCAATAATAAGTTCAAGTGAGAGGTGCGCGTGAAGGGCCGAGAGCGAGTTACACAAGAAGGGTTAC